GAGCTTAATTAAATATTTACCTGTGTGTGTCATCTGCTATTAACACTTTAATCTTTTATTAAGATAACAGGAGTTATACTATGGGAAAAGAATAAAATTAAACAAACAGTGTTTTTCAAGATAAAAATAGTTTCACAAAACCTTAATAGTCACACTGCCCCAAGTTTAGAGTTCTTATTATTCTCTGCTCCTCAACCACTTAACCCACCTAATTTAGAAGGACAGATGTCCTCTGATTTTATTTGTAAAATAAGCTAGGGGTGCACCAATAAAGTTTTTCTTGGCCAATACTGATAGCTGATTATTAACCAGCCATATCAGTTGATACTGATCTGGTAACCAAATTACAGGAATGCAGCCAGGCAGCATGGAGAGCAGCTCCCTGTAGAGGGGAAAGGACATGGGAAAGGGAAGAGATGGGTGGGGGCAGATCAAGGCCCTCATGGTGAAGGAGGGAGTGAGGTAGGGGCCAGGGGTTGGGGCTGGGAGTGTTGCCCAGTCAGGGCAATGAATGGGACCCGGAGCTGGGGCTGGGTGTGGGATGGAGCCATGGGTGGCTTGTTCAGGGGATCACTGTCCCATCACTTAATAATGGAAGCAGGGGTGCTTGAACTAAAAGTTCATTGAGTGGGCATTAGTTCAAGCACCCCTGCCACCATTTTTAAGTGTGGGGATGGTTTTAAGGAGGGCAGAAATGAGCAGAGCAAGGGCAGATGCGATTGCTGTCTGTGGGCTCAGGGCTCTCTGCTCACTGCTGCCTTTGCCCCAGGAACCCCACAGTGGCTACATGTCCCCTGCCTGTCCAACAACGGGAGGCACAACTCGCTGCCCTCACTGCTGCTGGGTGGGCAGGGGGTGTGCAACCAGTGTGGGGCTCCCAAGGGAAAGGCAGCAAGGTTGGGAGCCCTAAGCCCATAACAGATAGCCCACATTTGCCCTGTGCACAAATCTGGGGGTGGCATATGCCCCCCCCATGCCTCCCCTGGGGGGTGCGCAGTGGTGGGGACCCCCCCTATGCCTACTGGACCAGTTGCCCATGGCTCTATCCTGCTGTGCTGTCTTGCTCCAGGTCCCATGCACTGCCCTGGCAGAGCAGCGCCCCCAGCCCCAACCTGTACCCCACTGCCTCCCTCAACATGGGGGCCTTGATCTGCCCCTCTCAATCTCCTTCCCTCCCCCACAGCTGTTCCCCTCCACAGACTTACCTGCAGCAACCTGCTCTCCACGCTGCCCAGCTGCATTCCTGGTCACGTGCATGCCTGCAGCCAGGCACATGCACATGGCGTCTGGGGGCCCAGCCAGAAGGCATAATTAATTATATTTTTCAGTGAACATTATCAGCTATACTGGCCAAAAAAACTCAATAGCTAATAACGTAAATTTGCCTTTTAATAGTGCTGATCCAACATGCAACCAATATATTGGTGCACCTCTAAAATATACACACATATATATTTATTGTAATGCTCTGATAAAATTCTTCTAGCTATCCATACCAAAGATGTCTTTTTGTCCCATTAGATTAAAAGCTACTGTTTGTACTCAACAGATATCAAGCAATAATATTAAAAATAAATTAAAAACCGTAAGGAATGGGAGGAAGAATAATACTGAAAATATTATAGTGTCATATGAGCCAACTTTATATTCTCACCTAGAATACTGTGCTTCTCATTAGACTAGATAGTTTCTGTCTTGCAACATGCAAGTTCTTTAAATATGGCTTACAGAAAGGTTTTAATATTAATAGTGCCTAATCAAGCATTCCAAAGTCAGGTCCTTGCAGAAGTTAAGGGTTCTCTTGTAGCATTAACTCAGCCATGGTGTAGGATATTCTATCCATGAATCAGGCTCTAAACAGGTTTGGGCATACATCAGCTCCTTCTGGAAAAATAGGCCACAGCTCATTGACTCTGAAAGCCAGTTCTCTGAGTTTTCATCTGTTTAGACTTGCATCAAGTTGAACATATGACCCGGGAATGTCAGAACAGGGGTCCACAAGAAAAATAATAATACAATTAGATTTGGTGAAATGTAATACTTCATAAAACATGTTATGGAATTTGTCATTCTGGCCCCAGTCCAGTAAAATACTTAGGTATGTACTTAACCCTAAGCACCGGTAGTAACATAATGAGGGGTGGGCAACTGGGGTGCCATCCCTGGGCACCTACTTAGAGGGGGTGCAAGAATGGCAGCCACTATCACTGCTGACCCAGTCCCTGATGCCATCCCTGCCACTGCTGCCTCCGAGGGTCCAGACCCTAGTTGTTACAGCTCTGAGCATCTGAAAAGTCCCTCTGATTTGACTGAATACCATAAATTAATGTGATGTCAGTGGAACTACTTGCATGCTGAAATGTAAAGTCGTGCCAAAGTGATTTGCTGATTCGGTCTCTTGTTTGTTCATTACCTTTTTTGTTAACTGAAATATCTGGGGGAGAATTTCATGAGGACAGAAGCTATACAGACTTACCTTAGCCTACTTCAGTGCCCCACGTAGAAAGAAATGCATTCAGCCTTAAATAGCAGCTTTAAAGAGCAGACTTAAGGGACTTCAGACTCTTCTCTTGGGCCTTGATGAAACTTCAGAACTAGCATGACCTGCCCTGAGGCACATACTACACTGTCTTTGACTATCCATGAGGGACATCTGTTTACAATTGGGATAACTTTTGAAGAGCTGTTGTGCTTCTCCTTCTCTCAGACTCCCTATCTAAACTGTTGTAAAATTTCAGTAGGAAAAAAGAGAATACAATTTGAACAGTGATAAAAGCTCATTATTAAAAACAACCCTTCTTACACTTGTAAAGGCTGAACAAAGAAAGAATAAATGGAAATATATTAATATCAGAAGGAGCAGCAAGAGAAACAGTAACATAAAAATACTATAAAACACACAAAAAATACCTACTTCTGAAACAGTTTCTGTAATCCTGTTTTGTCAAGGCATTTTATGTATTGATAAAATGGGCTAGAAAAAGTGATTTAGATCTAAGTTATACATCTAGTCAGTAGTAGTCACCTCTTGTTCTTAGAGAGAAGAAGAGAAGGCAGACACCACAACTCTTCAGCCCATGACTCTCTTAAGATGGAGATGACTCCTGAAGAGATGATGGTCTGGTTACAGACTGTGGTAGAGTTGAGCCCGGTACCTTCCCACGGTTCCTGTCACAGGTCGATGCCAAGGGTGGTCTCCAAACCTGGTGCTCATTGTGATCAGCTGGGGTTATCCAGCCCCTCAGCACCTTACTAATGTCCTAGAGCATCTATATTGCAAACCTTTCTTCTGTCAGCCTCGGCTGCTGGCCCTAACCACTGCCATATGGTATAGCAATGGCATATGCTCAGAGCAAATGGTATAGGTCCTCACATTCTGAATAAGGGTGTCACCTGTGGGTACTGTTTTCTCTCCAGGTGAATAATGACCATGGGCCATTATAGTGCTATAGTATTGGAAAACCCTAACCAGAACTGGGACCGGTCAGCAGGGACCATCTGTCAAGCCTCCCTTGGGCTCGAAGTGAGGCTCATGGCTCACATAGGGCATTTAGCAATGATGGTCATTTGGGCTAGCAGTGCATCAGGGCCAAGAGCCTCTATGGCATTACCTTAAGGCCATCAGGAAGCCCTGAGCTGGGGGGTGGTTCTGTTCAGTTCTTATGAGTGTTAAGTACTGATGGTCATTTGTGGAGGCGATGGTCAAGTCCCCTAGGCCTCTGCTGCTACCCTGTAAGGCCTGCAATCTGAAATGGATTTAATGGATGCTGGAGCCAAGGGTGGTGCCATCTAGCTTATCTTGGGTGTTAGGCACTATGGTTATTTGAGGGGGTTATGCCCCCCCCTTAGGGCTGTCCATATAGTTTGCCTCTGTAGCTGTGCCTCTGGGGTGCTTCTCCAGCTCATTGCATGGGATCAGCACATTGGCCATTCAAGGGATTTATGGTCTGCTTTGGTCATTGTTCCCCTCTTAAGGCTTATGGGATGGATAGACTCAACAGAAACTGAGCTTGAAGTGGTGCTGACTAGCTTGATGGATCACTATTTGTTAAGAACCCTGCCTGTTTTCCAGAGCTTCAGGTTTCACCTCCAAGGGCAACTATCCGCCATTGTGCTGTTTTTCTCTATCCTGTCATTTCATATCCAAGTTGCCCCCTCCCCCTTCTCTGCAGCTGGACAGTCTTGCATGCAGTTGGCAAATGGCTGAAAATGGATTCATGGCAGTTGTCATTGGACGTCTGTCTCAGGTTGCATGGGCCACCTGGGGCTTTGGTCCCTAATAATCTGAAACAGGTACCCATCCGGGGTCATCTTAATTAGACTGCACTGCTTTTTAGGATATATACTATACACTATATCCTGCCTTCAGCGTGTTGCTATTGCCCCTGATAGAGGAGGCAAAGATATCTAAGTAGTGATGCACATTGTTGAACGTAGCATTCAAAGGCAATGGAAAGGTTCCCAATAACTGCGATGGACTTTGGATCAGGCAGCAAGAGAATTCAAGAAAGCACTCAAATACATGCTTAATTTTAAGGAAGAGCTTAACTTCCATTGGCTATGAGTACATACTTATGTTTTCATGAACTGAGGCCTAAACAAGGATCAATATAGGAATATTTACCTTAAAAATGTTTTTTATATTAGTTTCTGGTATTTGTCTGCTTTATCATATTTTATTTTGATATGTATTTTGTGCGCAGGGTTTTATACAACTTTAGCTAGTACATTCCAGTTACTTTAAATCTCATGAAACACTGAGCCACTGAAGTAATTTTTATGTTCAAACCTCTGGTTCCTGAGGGTCCAGTTCATTTCTGCTGTGAATTTAAATGAGTTAATTTAAGCAGTGGGGTAAAAAGCCACTATCATCGTAGTAGCCCCGTGCCTGATTCTTAATTAAAGGCAACAGGAGATTAATTTGAAACATTAATTTAAAAGTGCCTATACAAAAGGAAAGAATTATTGCAATAAAGCCTAAAGAACTTTTTTGTCCCTAGATGTAGAAGACAGAACTAGCTCAGGGTCCTGGGGGAATGGAGGACATCCTAGTCCATCCAGGGTAAGTATATCTAATCTTTTTCCCGAACCAGACTTCCTGCATATGTAAATTTGCAATCTCAAATGCAAGTTTTGCAACTGATTGTGTGGAAAAATGTTCATGCCAAGCTGGCTCCAGACCGACTTCTCTTCAAAACTGCTTTTTTTACATTCTTATCTGATCCTGTGATTGAATCTAACACCTACTCCACTCCTGCTAACAGGTAGCAGGAATATTCATCATCCATTTTGTCTTGCTAGGCTGCATCAGCTATTCATCCAACAAGAGTGTGTTATCTCAGTATTGTAAGAGGTATTTGTTGTTATTAACCTGTTACTACATTTGCTATAGTTTGAATGCAGGGAGAGGTTAGGTCTCATGGACACAGCATATTTGCTTGCCAAATATTAACTGCATAGCTTCAGGAAACACTTGTATACTAAAAAGTGCTCCTTTCAGATCCTGCCACACTTAGGAAGAGTGAATGACATCTTACTTGGGTAATCCAGCTGAAATCAATGGGACTAGTTGAAGGAAAGTTACTTTTCCTTTGAATATGCAAAGATTCCCAGTGGTGCCAAAATCTCAACCCACAATCATTGCTTCCTCCCACTTTGACCATTTACATAATCATTATACTCCACACCTCCCTTCAGATCAGCAGTGCCTAACTGGACGTTCTGCTCAATCTCAGTTAAAAGGGCTCAAAACAAGACAGCACAAGTACCAATGTAAACCAGTCAGGCTCACTGGGTTTGGAAACATGCCATTAATGACCCATAACTGACTACATTTTTGAGGCTTAGGGGAATTTTTAACATTTTGGGGCCAGCTTTTAATAGTTATAGGCTTACATTCATCACATAAAATATGTCCATGCACGTATCTGTATCAATAAACTGTACAACTGTGCATACTTAGTTTTCATTCCTATTTACACAGTCTGTGAATACAAATGCAAGTGCCCACACTATTACCTATTAGTCTGTGAGTGTGTTTTTAGAATCATCGAATAGCCGAGTTGAAAGGGACCCTGCTCAAAGCAGGATCTTGATTTATCCATCCCAGTTAAGTATCTGTCCAATCTGTCTCTAGAGAGACCTCCAAACTTTCCCCTCACAAGGGTTACAGTACGATACCCAAAGTATAAAAGTTAGTACTCTTCATAGGGCTGCAAGTATCTGCTTCCACTGTTGCTTGACACTGCTAATTTTAACCTTCAAGACTAAGATCTTCGGGTTTACCAATAACTGTTTTCAGGCTTTGCTACAGCTGTCAGTTTTCACATTCTAGTGCATTATGTGGATGGGAAGAGGAAATCTTTTCTGTTCTTCATGTGATAATTCTCATATTGACAGTAAGTTAGGTCCTAATTGTCAGGGTAGTAACTCAATTATTGTTTATCACTGAGAATTATTTAGATTCACTGTCTTTGTTGTGATACTTAAACAGCTGCAGTACAACGAAATTCAGTGGTTTTGACCATGTGTCTGTGAAAGCCGAGTCTAGAGTTGCTGTGACTCTCGGGAGTCAATTTTCATTTATTTGAAGACTAAGAAATATAATTTTCTAGTATTAGCATTCATGTCTTAGTCTGAAGTCAGTGAGACTCCTCTCTTAAGTGAGTGCTCATGAGTTCAAGTAACCCTATCTCAAAGAAGGCCTAGTTCTACACTTTTTAATTAATCAAACCTCCTATTAATCACAAAAACTTTGAGGCTGTGCTGTGCAATTACAGAGTCACGGGCTTAGTATCATTCTTGGAATTGGGCTGAGAGAGCACAAGTATATACTTCAGTATCAAAATTGCTTTTGCTTATATTTTGCAAATGCATAATGGACAATTATGCCAGGCAAAAAGGGTCTTTCCCTTTATTTATGGCTTTAAACTGTTTACATTGCTTTTAAATTGTTTTCTAATGAATGTTAACATCAGGGCTTGCAAGTGTTGCCGGCTGAGGTTCAGTGCCCCAAAGTAGCTGTCTAGTGAGGTGAAAGGCAGCTTTATTGTTCAGACACAGGCCATCTTTTTTTCCTGTGGGCAGACTCTGCCCTTTGGCTAACATTATGCCAAGTGACACTTCGAAGTAAATTTACTTAGTCTTGTATTACACTGCAGCCATCTGAGCAGAATGATTTTTTCCCCCGATTTACTACATACCAGGATAGAATTTCAGCTTAACCCATAGAAGAGGAAAAGCCAATCACTTTTTCTTATTGCGCCTTGTTTAGCAGCCATTACATCATTACTTCACACACATCTGTGAGGGTTTTTTTTTTCCTTGACACTTGTATTGCTTTTAGGGAAAAGATGTTTTGAAAAGTAACCTCTAAATTTGCACACACAATTATTTATGCATGCAAAAACTTGAATGTGAGTGTACAATGAGATGCCATAAAGAAATGAGCATAAGCCTGAGAGGAAGGCTTGAGTTTTAATCAGGGCTCTGCATTAATTTTCTGGGTGTGTTATGCAAATAACTTAACCTCCATGTGTCTCAGTTTCCCTTTCTGCAAAATGAAGATGAAATTTCCATTTCTTACCACAGTCTGAGAAAAATTCTTAGCAATAATTGAAGATGTAAAGTGCTATAGGTGGACTGATTCTTGTTAATTTTTTGATTCAGTCTGAGATTTTGAATACATAACATGTGCATCCTGATCCTGCCAAGGTTTATGCACTTTGTGCTCAATTTTATGCACTGTAATTAGTGCTGTTGCTTTCAGTGGAAGTTCTCCCAATATATCCAAGTGTAAGACTTGGTGGCAGAAGGGAAGGGGTCGGACACACTCCTCTGTGGGTTACACAAGCAAGTGCACAAATCCTTGCAGAGGTCTTGCTCCTTAGTGGAAATAGCATTACAGACCCAAACACTGTGGAAGTAGAAAGACCAACAGTGTTATAGGGAAGGTTCTTGACCACTTACACCAGTGGTGTTCAACATACTGCCTGTGCCCCAGATTGACCCATGAAGCCCATGTCAATAGCCCATCCCCTAACACCATGTCCTTGAGCATAAATGTCACGTCAGTGCGGCTCCTGCCAGAGCTTTACATGTGCAATGAGCTACATGAGCTCACTGGCATGTCAGCTCAGGCTCTGGCTGAGCCATCACTTTAGTGCAGCGGGGGAAAAAAAAGGGACAGTAGCTCTGGCCAGAGCCCATGCCAACAACTGGTGAGTTCTGAAAACTCAGCGCATGTACAGAGCTCTGGCAGTTCTTTACTATACGGCCTTTTGCCCATTTCTGATTTTAAGGTTTGGCCTGCTTGAAAAAAAGGTTGAACTCAACTGACTTACACAACTCCAGCTCCAAGGCTCAGTTACCAGGAGAGGTGTTTCCAAAAAACAAATGTTAATTACTAATAACATTTAAATTTGCTACCTGGGCAGCTCCAGCAGAACCAATTAAAGGAGGCAAGAAACTGAATGTTTTTTTCATTATTCACTCTTTAGGACTGAGGGTAACAGGTAGGAACTATGTTAAACTCATAGAAAATGCCTTCACTACATTTGTAAACCCTTTTTTTTTGTTAACAGAACTATGGAGATGGGACTCACTATGATCACATGGCAAGCAGGGACCTGGGGTCACATGACAATCTTTCTCCTCCTTTTGTCAATTCCAGAATACAAAGTAAGAAATTCAATTTCCTAACTTACTTTTTAAAAAGTAGAATAAAAAGGAGGTACAATGTTGTGGTTTTCTGTTCCAGTCCCTTTTTTTTGGAGTTTTTGTTGTACAAAGTCCTTGAGCTATGCCATATTTAGGGAAATATACACCAGTGCCATTTACTGAATATAACACATTTTCTTCACATAAGAACAATTTGATGTTTGAAGTGGTGACTGTTCTGGGTTTTTTTTTTAAACAGAGGTAAATGGTCTTTTCCTGAAGCTTAACTGTTTTCTTTAAATATGTGATCCCTTAGGAAAGCAAATGACAATGTTTTATGAATTCCAGGTATAAAAAGGCTTCCTGAATGTATTGCAAATAACTGTTCATTAAAGGGGACAGAGAGCTTAAACATTTCCTTTCTTTGGACCATAATGGATCTTTGCCTTTGGGGACCTGTAGAATCTGTGGCTGCCAACTTCTGGTTTTAAGATGGGGTGCTTGAAACGTGCGTTTATTTGGACAAACTATATTTAGTCCATGGCATCTGGTAAATGAACCCCTACAGTTTGGAAAAGTTTGGGGATCCCTGAATTATCAGTTTAACGAGATGTATATAGATGCAGTTTAGCAGCAATAAGCATAGTAATATAAAGGGTAAAATTATTTGCAAGTAAATGATAGCTACCTTCTTTAATCCTAGTTGATAAATGAGCTTGGTTAAAGTAAATATATGATGAAAAAATATTAGTAATCTTTCCACTTGGCCAAGATCACACCCTTTACTGTGGTTGTCAATGAACTAACTGAAAAGCCTTGCTTTAAACAATTGAACCGTAGCCAAAGAAAACAGTGCTGTAACTATGATATATCATTCTTCAACTCCTAAAATATGTCTTGTCTTTTAATATTAAGAAATATTTGTGAGTTGTTCAACATATGGGACAGTGTTGGAGCTTGTATTCATTTGTATATATTCATATACAAAACACGCTTAAAACAATTTCAAGGGGCTGTCTTCAGCCAAACAAAACATGGACATTTCGACACTCCCTTTTAAATGCACGCCATTGGATTTAGATAGTGCAAAGAGATACTTTGCAAATAGCTGCACACTTCTTTGAAACCCACTGGCTGAGTGACGCTTTCAAGTTTAACCTTTTAATTTGAATCTTTAAAACATAAACATATCTCTCTTTCCCCTCTGCCCCTGGCTTACAAAAAGAAAAGAAAAACCCCACTCTAGACTTTGATTGTTTTTGCCAAGTTTGGGGAAAATGCTGCCGTCCCTTGATTCAAAAAGGAATCATTACAATAAAGTACTTTTGTAAGCACATTTTTAAGAATAAAAACAACATCTCTGATTAGTATTTTCTGAAAAACAAACACAGTTTTCTAAAATCCTGGCATGTGAGTATCAAAGTCAAAGGGAGTTGCTCTACCACAGCTAACAGAGTAATCAGCCCCTTGAGTTTTTTAAAAAACTAGCAATCCTTTTCAATTCAAGATGTCTATCAGCACTTGGTTTGAAACGGTCAACATGCTGAAAGGTCCCGGAAGTGGTATTTTTCTGCAGCCTCCTTAAATTGCTGTGCGTGTTTATATTCGTTGAAAAATAAATTCAGCTGGAAATAAGAATACTGATATTTCTTCATGTGTAGATTATTAGATGTACCCGAACATGAGAAAGCGACTATGAACTTCAGGCAAGTGTGTTGTTGTGAAATAATTCTTGCCTGATGCTGGAACTAATCAGCTCACTCCTGCCGTCTGAAGTATTTTGTAACCTTAATTTAAAATCCTTCTCTGTTAATTAGAGCAAACCCCTTTTAACTTATTTCTGTTTAGGCAGTAAAAGTCAAGGAAACCATACTATTTTATTTCCTCAGTTCCTTTCAGCTCCTAAGGCCTCGACTGTATCCTGCTTATTCAGGTGTGCAAGGGGAGAAAGAGCAGAAGATATCACAACAAGGCTGCATGTGCCCCCATGCAGAGGCAGGATATAATCTCATTAGGGAGTGGAGATCGTGCTCGCTGTTAGCAGCCACCTAAAATGGGAGAGAGAGGAGGAGTGGATGGTGGCACTGGTTTTCTACCTCTGGTGACACCTGGCAGCTGGTCAGGCTCATGAGGGAACATATGCTGTACCTCTTACAAGACTGAAAAGGCTGTTCCTGTGGTATGCACTTCCCAGGAGGTCCCCAGGGTCAGACTGCATTTCTCCTGGAGCTTCTGGCATAACTCTTGTACACCCCCAACACTGGTTATAACAGAAGCAAATCCTAAATGTGGAAACCAAGGCCATCTGCTGTACTATGCTAAGGAATGTTACAATGTCTGTGAGTCTCCCACTGTTTCTAATGAAAGTGTTGTTCTGTCAGATAAGCTGTCTGGTCAAATACACGGCCATTTATTGTTTTGAGAGCATTACATTTTCCACCTCAAGCAGATTTTTAGAAAGAAAAGAACTCTGTTTTGGAGTAGATGTTTTACCTGACATGAGCAAGACTCTTTGCAAGCTGAGACCAAGGCAGTATCCTGCTGAGTAGAAGAGCAGGGAACAGCTTACTAACCCTTTTTAAAAGCTAGGAGTTTCAAGGATGATCATTTTCAAATATGGATAAAGAATTCCTTGTGGGATGATACATTCTTTAGTACTTCTTGGAGGCACTGGTACTTGGATGTCTTCATCCCACTGAACTACCTCCTATCTTCTGTGTCTTGTGCAGCACTGGCCACTGATAACAACAACAATGTTAATGATAATGCTATTTATTAGCAGTGTGCGAAGCGGGCCCTATTCGATTCGGATTCAGCCTGAATCAGGGAGAGTGATTCGATTTGTTGATTTGGATCGCTGTCCCTGATTCGATTTGTCTGAATCCGAATCTGAAGATTCGATGCTGATTTGGAGAATCAGCGATTCGGCCATAGATGCAGCTTCAGATGTTTTTTCTACATACCTCGAGGTACCAGCGCAGCTTGTGAACGCTGCGATGCTGGGGCAGATGGAGTGTCCCACAGGAGTGCAGGGGGCCCTCCGCCTGCTCGGCAGCGAACCTGGAAGTGGACCCAGAAGTGGATCGATTCGGAGGGTCCTGATTCGATTCAGAGAGCTTAAAGGGTCCACTGATTCAATTCGGATTTGGAAATTTGGCCACTGAATCGGGCCGAATCTCCACTTAATCGAATCAGGGACCGAAGCTTCGCACAGCCCTACTATTTATCTCCCAAATACTGCCACATTGGGAACTGCTGTTAACCTGTGCTGATTATACTGTATTTGAGTTTTTAGATCTATTCTAGATAGTACAACTTAAATGAGGCACCTTATTATTTCTTCAGCAGACTCCATCCAGAGCTAAAATGGGAAGTTGCTTGCAATACACAGTTTATTGTTTTCCGTTTTCTTGTCCAGTCATCAGATTATCCAAAGAAAAGGTCCACAGAGATTCTAGTTGAGCTGTGTGTGCCTGAAGAGTCACACTATCATTTTATCCTCCTCCTCATCTTAATGTGAGCAAACAATACAGCTGAACAACCTAATTGTCAACCAATGTGAGCCAGTTTTACATTGGTGTAACTCTGCTGATGTCAGTGAAGTTAGCCCTGACAAAAGAATAAGGCCATAATAAATACTCTCTGAATCTACTAATGCATGAGAAATCAATCAGAATTCTCAAAACAATTGATCATAGCAATTTAATGTAGGACCAAGGGATGCTGATGTTGTGTTTCTGTGTCATTAAAGCAGGTGAAGGAGACCTCACCAATTTCTAGAGATGTGCATCCAAAATCAGGTTATATACAGCCTTAGACTGGTGCCACAAGCACAGGGAGAGAGAATACAAGAAACGTTCTCTCCTATTTCACACACAGTTCAGGGGCCAGATGCAATCCCAGTCATTCTCCCCTGAAAACACAAGGATGTTGACATCAGCATTAATCTAATTAAAACGAGCCAGGACATTCCTTCCCACCACTACACGAGACCACAGGGTTATGTTGTACAAAATGAGGCCTCTGGCATAAGCTTTTTCAAACGTCGTGCCTGAAAAAGCTTTTATAACCTTCCTTAATCTGGGGTTTTGGTTTATTGGTTCTTCCTGTGTGTGGCTAGTTTGTAGTCCTAACTCTCCAGAAAGAACAGTTTTTCAGGCAAAAAAGATTTGTTATAATTAGGCCTACGTGTTAAAGATGGTATCCAGTGAACCACACATATGCTGCGGTGCCAGGAAGGCTATACTAGCTCTGGGAAATTAGCAAAGCTAAATTTGTCATGTTGGGAAATTATTTTTTTCCCGTAGACTATTACTTCTAGATTCTCTATTTGTAGTGTCAGTCGTAATAATAAACGAGACCCTTTTTGTTGGTTTCATAGGTGTGAATGAACAATGCACATTTGGCCTGGTGAGAATGCAGACTGGGACTGGTAATAAATACTTCAGGGAGTGATTTCATTGCTGTAATTGTGTATCATTCCACACTGGTTGCTCAGTTTCCAGGTGCATTCTTTTGAACTGTTCTTATCCTACCTAAGATAGCTTGCTAGTACATTAAATCATTTACCAATATACAGTAACTTGTTTCTAAAACCCCTGTAGCTTAATGGAACATTTCACTGCAAGGATTAGATTGAGGTTTCAGGCAATGTTGAAGAAAGCTGCTGGCTTATGTGGTGACCTTTGAATCTCATCTGGGTTAGTGGTTGATATTTTGATTTGGTTACCGTGGTCATATTGTGACAGCTGCTGGTTCATTATAATTCAGTTCCTTTGCTCAGTTTGCCTACCAGGAATATTTAGGTTAGTGTTACTTCAAAGTGTTTCTAACTATTCTGAGTTTAATCTAGTACTATGTAAAAGGTGATGCATTAGGAATTCTTTCAATAACTGACAACAGACTGTAAGACAATGTTTTCAAGCAACAACACTTAGTTGTCGAGAGATAAGTTTTCTCTCTCTCTAACTGCTACAATAGATAACAATTCTATTGATGTCAGCTCTAGGAGTTCTGATATT